CTACTTACCAAATCCCTCACCATCATCAGACGTGATTACTCATTCCTCTGTGTCCCCGTAACAAGTGCCTGTTCCTCAGCTATAATACTCAGCACTTTCTGCCTTAACATGTCTTTCTCACCCAATAGATGAGTCAATGCTTGCAGGATTGATTAGGTCTTTGTGCCTTCCCACAACGTGCCTGGCAAAGCTCCTGATACATAGATGTTCTCAATACATATTGGTTGAATGAAAGAATGAATGAATAAAAGAATAAGAACCCAGGTCCAGTCTTTAGGAAGAAGCACCTTGGATTTACTCAGAATGCTTTCCCCAACTTGCCTTTGGGATTTGCTTTCCCTCCTCCAGGTCACTGCAGGGAACCACCACCGTGGGAACACGAAGCTTCGAAGAGAATGTACCATTTCGTGGTGGGGCAGACAATTCACTATGAGTGCGCGCAGGGATTCAGGGCCCTACAGAGAGGTCCTGCCGAGAGCATCTGCAAAATGATCTGTGGAAAGGCGAAGTGGACACAGCCCCAGCTCAAGTGCATAAATGAAAGTCAGAACACTCAGTTTCCGGGTATGGTGGCACCTTTGTGGGTCCACAACCTTGCTTTTCCCACCAAGCCGACCAGGGTGGAAATTCTGACCCACCAGCTATGTAACCTTGGGCAAGCCACTTAATCTCCTAGGGCCTCTGTTTCTTCTCATTCTAGAAAACAGACTAGATAAACTCTAAGGTCTCTATCACCTAAGGTCCCCTGTGCCCTAAGTGGGGATAAATAGCAGGAGATGGAAGAGGAGGACAGATCTTCGGCATGGTCCAAAGAACCACAGATCACTCACTGGTGATAATGCTGCACCTTCCTACCTGCTCCTGAAAGTCCACTTCTTCCTCCAAGCTGCCCAAACTTCCTCCAATTCAAAATGGAAAGCTCAGCCTGCCACGCACACATTTCTCGTTTACTGATATGTAATGTAAATCCATTCTTTGTACAGTGCTACACTGTTGGCATGCATCTTCCCCTGGTAAAATTCCCACCTGAGCTTTGATAAAAGTGCAAATGTGCAGGGAAGGGATTTATTCATGCACACATGCACACACTCATTCACGCATGCACACAACCCACCTATGTTGACGTCTTCTGCTATTTTCATTCTGAAATCATATTACTATTTCCACAATCAAAAGCCACTTACATTTAACCATGTGTTACTTGTTTCTTGGGTCACCACCCCTTCCCATACCTCATGTCTTCCTCTTGGATTCTTAGGGGGTTCTGTGTCTTTTTCCCATAGCCAGATTCCAGTGAGCCATACTGCAGGCCAAGGCATGTCCCTGACTTCCTTTGTAAAAGGATAATGAGATGGGGCAGTGTGTTGGGGAATTGACAACCTCCACGAAGAACCGGGGACCTGTCACAGAGAAAAGTTATCCTTTTGTGAATTTCTACTTCGTTTGATGGTTCAGTGGTCTTTGTATTATTGGGTTGATGGAAAAGTCATGACGCATTTTTGCAACGAAAAACACAGAAAAAAACATGTCATGACTTTTCCGACAACCCAATATTGTGACCTGTTTCCAAGCCACAGATAGAAACCAGTGCTGAGTAGGAAGACTAGGGCCAAAGAGTTTCTCAGAATTCCATGGAAAACTAGGATCAGAATTAGAATTCCCTCTCACTGGGCTCTTCCAGGGCCACTTACCCCCCCTGTGACTCTAATGTAGAGCCAGTGATCTGGGCACCCACAGATAACGTGCCCAGAACCGAGATTCACACCTTAGCCAGGGTGTCTGGGGTAAGCTGAGGAAGGCGGATGTGGGTAGGTGTGGGACCCTACTGCCCCCCACCTTCAGTTCTATAAGCTTACTTTCTCCTGCAGGTGACCAAGAGCCTCAAGCAAGCACAGATACTCCTTCTGGGAGTGAAGATTCCTGTTCCTTAATAACAACAGGCACTACTACTACAGGTATGGCTAGAGTTTGCTTCTTTGAAGATAAAAGCTTGGCCAGTGAATCATAATGCGAGAAAGAGCAGACAGTGTGCCAGGAGCAGTCCCTCCAGCAGCTGGGGGGCGGGGGAGGGGGGTGAAGACCCGCAGGACCTCCCATGGGACCTCCCACACCTCCTCACACCCAGGGAAGTGTCAGAAAGAGAAAGAAGTGGCTGTGAAGGGGTAGAGTCTTGAGGCACAAGAATAAAATGCTTGGGAGCGGCCTCCCCTTGTTTCTTACATCCCTTCCAACCCCTGAGGTTCTAGCTCACAGAGAAGTGAGAACACTCTCCAGACCAATAATTAGCATAAACGGAGCATCTTCACTTCTCTCTTTTGTACAGATTTTCACAAACATACAGAAGTGGCTACAACCACAGAGCCCGTGATATTTCCCGCCGAGTATCAGATGGCAGGTGGGTATGGGTGGCTCCTGTTACGGACAAAACGTACATCAGAGATTATGGGACATGTTGTTTGGTGGGTGGGTTGGTTGGTTAGTTTTAAATGACCCCCTGCTTACACTATATAATGTTTATAAGAGTAAAAGACTAATCCAGGTATTAACATAACTCAAAATCATAGTAATCAGTGACAGTAAATTGTGAGTGAGTCTCAAACCAGCCCGAACCAGTTGTTCCTGAGTGGATCCTAAATGGCAAAACACCCCATGCCTGTGTGTGAGGAGTGAGGCAAAGGAGGAGGGAGGCAGTATAACCAGGAAAAGAGAAAAAAACGTTCCATAAACACTAGAGTTGTTTCCTGGTAGGAGGGAAAAAAAAACAGGCTTTGCAGCAAGAAAAGAAAAGAAAAACGAGCTCAGAGAAACAGAATAGAATGGTGGTCATCAGGGATGGGACTGGGAGATGTTGGTCAGAGGGCACAAACTTCCAGTGAGAAGACAAATTCTGGGGATGTCATGTACAGCAGGTAGATGATAGCTAACAATATACTGTGTTGTATATTTGAAAGTTGCTAAGAGACTAGAGTTTCAATGTTCTCACCACAAAAAAGAAATGGTATGTGACCCCGTGCAGGTGTGAGTTAATGCTGTGGCAGTCATCAGATGGCAATGTGTGAGCGTGTGAAACCAACACGTTGTACACCTTGAACTTACATGATGTTATATGTCAATTACATCTCAATAAAGCTGGGGAGAAAAGAAGAAAGCTAGGCTTAGTTTTAGATGAGGCACATCTAAGATAGGTAGGTAGGTAGATAGATAAATAGATAAGTAGGTAGGTAGATAGATAGATAAGTAGATAGATAGATAGACAGACAGACAGACAGACAGACAGACAGACAGACAGATAGATAGATAGATAGATAGATAGATAGTCAGACAGATAGATAGATAGATAGATAGATAGATAGATAGATAGATAGATAGATAGATAAGTAGGTATGTAGATAGGTAGGTAGGTAGGTAGCTCGCTCTGGTTCCATTTTGGAAATATGAACACTTTCAGGAAATGCTAAAGTGTTTATCTTTATCTTTATATTTTAACTTTTCTTTTACCTGTCAGAGGCCTCACTCCTGGCCTCCTTCACTGAGGCCTGGCCTTTGAACCTTTCTGAAGAGCGCGCCTGTCAGTTTGATCTCCCCAGAAAGAGCCGGCCCTTTGAGGAAAGGCGCCCTGCCCTGCCCTTTTCCATCCACACCGCCTCACCCAGCTCTTGCCCTCTTCTCTTCCTTGAGCCTCCGCAGAAATCCTGCCGGGGGAGGCAGCTGCATTCTGGGAGGAGCCCACATCTCCGGGAAGTCCTGATGGGGGTGGGGGGGAGACTTCTCCGCCTGCTCCGGGGCCCTGCCCAGGGCATGCCTCTGCTGACCTGCTTCTCTGTTCACAGTGGCCGGCTTCGTTCTCCTGCTGATCAGTATCCTCCTCCTGAGTGCGCTCACCTGGCAGCGGCAATGGTGAGTCTTCTATTAACAAAGCCCTTGTCCAAACTAGGGGATGAAGCCCGGCCATAGGAAAAGCCCCTGGGCAGAGAGCCCCTCGCCCCCAGCCCAGCTCACCCCATCCTCCCTTTACCCACCAGCAGTCTGGGGAGCAGTAGAGGGAGAACTGGCTAATGTCTGCATTCCCCAAGAGTACACCGACAAGAATTAACACGGCCGAGAAAGAGGAGAGCAAAGGAAACTAACATTTGTGGAGGGACTACTGGAGGCCAGCCTCGATGCTTATCTAGTAAACATACCACAACCTAGCTTCTCAGAAACCTTTGGTATAGCTCCAGCTTAGGCAGGCTAAGTAGCGTGAACAGGATTGCACAGCAGAGGCCCAAACTGCAGCCTGAATCCAGAGCCCAAGACCTTTCTGCCCCCTGTCACCTGGCTAGATGGGAACCTCCTCCTCTCCTGCACACCCGCTTCGCCTCCTGCAGACACTCACACCCAAGCCCCCTCTACCAGGAACACGGCCCACGTGTAGCCTTATTTGCAAGAACTCAGATTCTCAATCCTGGCTGCGGATTAGAACAACCAGGAGAGATTTTTCAAAATAATGCTTGGGTTCCAACTACAACCCCTGGGGGTGGGCCCCAGACAACAGTTCTACTTTTTTTTTCAATTGAGATAAAATTCATCATTTTAACCATGTTAAAGTGCATAATTCAGTGATTTTTAGCAATATTGTGTATATACCATCCCTATCCACTTACATTTCCATCACCCCAAAAAGAAACCCTGTACTTCCCAGTTCCCCATTCCCTGGCAACCACTAATCTATTTTCCATCTCCATGGATTTACCTGTTCTGGACATTTCATATAAATGGAATCGTACAATATGTGACCTTGTGTGACCAGGAAATAAGTACTTTTTCAAAAGCTCCTCAGCTGTGTCAAATATATACGCATCCAGTTTTGACAGCTCTGCACTGAGCCAGTGATTCTCAAACTTGAGTGGGCATCAGAACTCCTGGGGTGCTTGTTCCAACGCAGAATGTGGGTCCCACCCCCATAGCTTCTGATTCACAGGTCTGGGATGGGGCCTGAAAATGTACATTTCTAACAAATTCCTAGGGGATTCTGATGCTGCTTTTCCAGGGACCAAACTTTGAGAACCACTGCCTTAGACTAACAGTATTAAGAATCAAGAGGGTGAAGTCATCTCTCTCTCTCTCTCTCTCTCTCTCTCTCTCTCTCTCTCTCTCTCACACACACACACACACACACACACACACACACACACACACACAACCAGCTTCTCCCTCCCTTTAGAAAGCAGACCATAGAGACCTATTATGTCACTCTTTTGACTAGCCAAGATATCCCTACCCCCACCAGAGTACACTCTGGCCAACCCTAAACTCCCCAGTAAGACCCTGAGGAGACATGGATTCACCCCCCAAAAACCAAAGCTCTCAGATCCTACAGTTAGCCCAGCCAGGGAGAAATCATCAGATTTCTTCCATTTTTATATTGGTCATCAGGCCACAAGAGACTCCTGATTTTCCTTGTGTGAATTAAAAAGTACAAATTATTGCAAAGTGCAAAATAAACCCTCTCTTATTCACATAGCTGGTAGTCTACCAATTTTTCTACGGTGTTAGCTGATTCCTAATGTTTAGGATTATGTGAGACGAAGGATGTAAAGTGCCCTTATATTGCAGGTACTCCATACTTGTTTAGATCCTCTCCTTCCTTCACTGATGAGACTTAATACCTCTCAAGGACCTTTACATTTTGGTAGCTTAAAAACCAAACCCTTCAGACACAAAGGGATTAGACGATTCGGGAGTGGTAAAGGTTTGGAGTTTATGTTGTGAAACAAAGAACAGCCTGAAGTTATATGCATTCCCACAAGCGCGGCTAGAATGACAACCTTCCAGGAGACTCAAATATATATCTCAAACTGATCCATCAGAGACTAGCTCAAAATCCTTCCTACGACTCCAATTTCATCTGATAGTGCCCTCTAGTGGCCAAATGGAAATCCTACATTTGTTTGTTTTTTTGTTTTTGTTTTTGTTTAGCAATTACTATGAGCTAGTGATGAGCAGAGCTGACTTAACTGGCTCCGGAGAGCCAAAGTTAAATTTTCAGGAGTTTTGGAAACTGTTTTTAAGCATAGCCATTATGAAAAATTAAAATACATAAACATAATTAAATAAATTATATTATAAACAAAGTTAAATACTCAAAATTCATCACTTTCTAAGTACTACATTTTGCTACTTTCTTTGTTCTCAGGGTTATTTACATCTGTTGCATCTGTACTAAGGAAATACTATATGATGGTTTATTCTGCACATTTCTTGCTAACCTTGTATTAAGTGATGTCATATTGACTTGAAACTGGGCAAAGTAGCAGTATTTACACGGTGGAAATAGGCAAGCTTTTTCAGAGAGCTGGTTGTTAAACATTTAACAGCACACCGCTTCTCTCTCTCTCTCTCTCTCTCTCTCTCTCTCTCTCTCTCTCTCTCTCTCTTCCTCCCTCCCTCTCAGAGCCTTGCCCCCTGGGAGCTCTAAGCAAGGCAGGAAGTAACCAAATGTTACTAAGTCGGAGCTGGGGAAAGTCTAGAACTATCTATTGTCCAATCCAGTAGTCATTAATCACATGGGGATATTTAAATTTAAACTTAAATAAATGAAATATAGTTCAAAATTCAGTTAATTAGTTGCACTAGTCACATTTCAAGGGTCCAATAGTCCCATGTGACTACCTTATTAGATAACACAGATACGAAACATTTCCATCATCACAGGAAGTTCTTATAGCACAGTGCTGGCTAGAAACTAAGAGTTTTCAATTCACAAAAATCACTTAGCACAGTTAGTTGCTATTATTATTCCTCTTCTGCAACTATTGTCCTCCATATAATTAAAATTTTTTATAGGGTATCGACTATGTAGAAGTTGGTCAAAGGGCACAAGCTTCCAGTTAGAAAATGAATCGGTTCTGGGGATCGAATGCACAGCATTGTGATTATAATTAACAATACTGTATTATATATTTCAAAGTATATAAGAGACTAGATCTTAAATGTTCTCATCACACAAAAAAAGAAATGATTATTATATGACATGAGGGAGGTGTTAGCTGACCCCATGGTGGTAATCAAATTGCAATATATTAATGTATCAGATCAAAATGTTGTACACCTTACACTTACACAGTGTTATACGTCAGTTATATCTCTAAAAAACAAAAAACCATTACAAGAATATCTGCCATGTGGTAGGTACTTGTCAGGGGCCCAAAGATTAATATAAATGCCTCCCGCTCTCAGGAAAACAGAAAAAAATAGACTTCAAATATAATCTGTTAAAGCCTAAGACTGAGGTGTTATAGGAACAAAGAAAAAGGACACTTAATTCTACATGGGAGAGCTAAGAAGGCAAGGCACCAGAGATACCTGAGGCCAGGTAAAGAAAGCAGGAGATGGCTGTTGGGCAGAGGGAGTACGGGGAGAGGGAGGCGGTGGGAAGGGGCATGTTCACGTTTGGGAGAAGCCAACAGGTTCTAAACACAAAGTGCATGGGGCCGCGGGGACCTTGATGCTCTGGGGATGGACAGTGACCAAGTCGTGGATGATTCGGCCAGACTGAGGGGCTTGTCCTGAGGGTAGCAGATAGCAGCACAGAAGCTTTCCTTAGGGGACGCATGGTAGCATTGGCCCTCTGAATGGTCCGGCTACAACAGAGGCTGGATTTCAGGTGGGAAATGGTGGTGGCAGCTTGATTATGTTATAATGGAATAAATCCACATAGGAGATGATGGCAGCATGAACTAGCAGTTCCATAAGTTAAAAAGGAGCAAAAGAATCAAGAACTATATGAAGGAGGTCTAGGTAGCAGGGTTTGGTAGCTGTTTAGACGTGAGGGTTAAGGAAGAGGGATGACTCCAGGTTTTAGAGGGGGACAGTGGGACCATGTATACACGGATGCAATGTAAAGTGAGAATCTAAAGTAGTGGACCCCTTGGGGATTAAACCCCAAGCAGAGCCCATCCTACAGTCCATTACCTGGGACATGCTCAGCCTCCACATCTGTAACTATCCAGCCCTGGAGGTGACAGGGAAATGGAAGGGCTTTCTAGAGCTCTTTCTTGGATCTACTCACAGCACAGTGATTGAATTTTCATGCCGTAAGAGCTGAGGGGCAGCCATCTTGGCCTCTGGAGGGATGGGAGGACTTGAGTTCAGATTTCAGCTTGTGGGAAGGTAACAGTATCCTGGGGTGGACTTGAAATTAGCAGGTCAGTGTGGACTTAGGTGAATGCTCTTCCCACATTGGTTTAGGGTGGGATCACATTTTTTTGGTGCAATATTACACCTATGACTCTGACTTAGATATATCACTACAGGAGGAAGAGTAGAAGAACAATCTAGAAAGCCAGGAATGGCAAGAAGCCAAGAATAGCCCAAAGAAGTCATGACACACAAGCAAAAATCAAAGAAGATAAACACTCATCCAAGCAGCATTTCCTGAGATTCCCTGGGTTTTGGAAAGCTCTGAAGTCACATCACAGAACACCAGGCAACTGCAACTCCATCACAGAGCCAGCTCTGTAGTATCAATGAATGACCTTGACCTGCTTCTAAGTATCAATTCCAAGGTCACTGGAAGAGCAAGGAGGAACCATCAGAAGTCTCAGTCTTATTTTCATGTACATGTGTTCATTAAAGCTTAAGCAATAAGGAACTCTCTCCATACCCTACATAGTATAAAGAAAATAGTTTAATGTTAATTTCATCCCAACTCTCCAGTTTAGAAATCCCAATGAAACTCCAGCACTAAAGTAAACAGACTCTCTCTCTCTTCCTCCTCCTCCCCCTCCTGTGTGATGGGATCCTGTCTCAGACTCTCGTAGACTAGCCCATTCTCATGGTCACGTTCCTTAATGAGCGCCCTCTAAGAACTCTGGACTGGTAACTTAAATGGATCTTTTTGTCCTTAGCTCAGTCCTCTAAACTAGCACCCTTCCACTGAACCTTCCATTTTGAATTTCTAAAGAACAGAGGCCACGGCAGAATTCTCTTCAGATAATACCCAAACAGGGCAACCAAGGCCTTAGAATTACAGAGCTTTGATATTTGAATGGATTTTACTGGATTTAATGTCGGGGAAAAGAAGGATAAACTAGGTCCCAGGTAATGAATTCTACCCATTAAAAATCTTCACCTACCCATCACTAACAGGACTTTTTAAGAGTTAGTTTCTTTGGAGTTGCTATAGATGATACTCTGAATTTGGCCTGCGTGAATTTGATGTTTATAGACAGACACACGATGTGCAAATGTCTATAAAACGTTTCCAGGTAAATGTCGTAAAAACACCAATAAAGGATCAATACACTCAATGTTTATGGAAAGAAGGAAAGAAAGAAGAAGAAAGTGAGGGAGGGGAGGGAGATCATATGACAGGCTGTAACTATGGAAAAGGTCACACCAGCGGTCCTCACACTTAGCAAAATGTTTAGCAAATCAGAATCACCTGGAGGCCTGGTGAAAACACGTGACTGGGCCCATCTCCAGAGTTTCCGAGTCAGCAGGTCTGGGGTGGGCCTGAGAATTTACGTCTCTAACAAGTTTAGGTGATGCGGATGGTTCTGGTACTGGTAACACACTTTGAGAACCACTGGGCTATACTTCTCCATTCCCACCAACCCTCAACTTCTACTGGAAAAATCAGCTAGTGCTGGGATTTCAGTGAAAGTTCTTGTACAGCTTCTAGCATAAGAGCTCTGTTCTCAAGTCAGCTGACTCAGATACCCCAGATGAACAAAACCACATGACTAAGGAAGTTAATGAAACACTTAAACCAGCAGCCAGTTTTCATTTCTGAAAGGGCAGGAAAGTGTTATGAAAAAATGGGCAGGTGTCTGCAGGTCCATATCCAGATTAAAGAACCATTTTTTGTCCTTTATGCGACCAACCAAGTACAGTCCAGATTCCATTGTCACCATCCCCCCGACAACCTGCCCCAACTATATGTTTTCCAGTTAAAGTAAAGTAGAGAAGAATCTCAGAGCAGAAAAAAACTTTTTCAAAAATCTTACTTATCTAACTTGAGTAAAACGGAATTGAATTATCATTACTCATTTTTGGGGAGGGAGGCCTATGAGATCAATCTTTTTTTTCATAATGATTAAGATGTTTATTTGCCTTTTTCACTCTCATTCTCTTAAAAGTGTATGGTATTTTCCAGAAGCTATGTGATATGTGATGATGACATTACTCTGATGTTAACATACAATGAGTTTATTACTATTGACCATAAAGGATTTAATAAATAGCATTTTTTAAATTTCCTGGTTTTAGTGTCTAAATACAGTAAGTATCACTAGATGTAACTACATAAACAAAAGCTGTTTAAGATCCTCAATACTTTTTAATAACATACAGAGGTCCTGACAAATAGCTACCATGTACATAATCATTGGTCATTCCAGAAATGCAAATCAAAACCACAATGAGATACCATGTCATACTAAGATGAATTTAAGAAAAAATAAACACATAACAAATGTTATTTTTCCTACAGAAAAGTAGGAACCCTCTTACATTGTCAGTGGGAATGTAAAACAGTGCAGCTGCTGTGGAAAACAGGCTTGCGACTCCTCAAAAAGTTAATCATAGAATTAACCACATGACAGCAGTTCTACTCTTAGGTATACACCCAAGAGAGATGAAAACCTATGTCCACACAGAGACTTGTACGTGACTGTTTATAACAACATTATAGCTAAATAGCCAAGAGGTGGAAACAACCCAAATGTCCATCAACAGAGACACGGCTAAGCAAACGGCGGAATACACTGCAATATGCTTAAGTCATAAAAAGGAATGGAGCGCTGACACATGCTACAATCTAGCTGAGCTGCAAAAACATTATGATAGGCGAAAGGAGCCACACGGTACAGTTCCTTTTATACGACTTATCCAGAATAGGCGGCCCCACAGAGACAGAAAGTAAATGAGTGCTTACTAGGGCCTGAAGAGAGTGACTACTTAATGGGTATGGGGTGTTTTTCTGGGATGATAAACACAAAAATGTTGTGCATACACTAAATGCCATGGAACAGTACACTCTATAATGATTAATTGTATATTATGTAAATTTCACCTCAATGAAAACAAACAGAAAAAGAGGTCCTGAGATCAAAATATTTGAGGACTGCTGGTTCCATTCACGATTCTCAAAGAAGGATCCTCAGCTCACTGTGGAGGGTCAGGGTCTTCCTGAAGTTTTTATGGTGACTTACGTACTGGTGTTTTATTATGATGAGACTCTGAATTTTTTTTCAAAAGCTAAAATTAACATACTCCTGAAGTTTACTAAAGACTCTGATTCGGTGTTCTACTGAGAACATGAAATTTGCATAGCTTCCAGGATGAATGTTGCTACTGATAAGTTACTAGAACTGTCTGGGGCTGGTTTTGGTTTTTAATTGCTGGCATTCTCTCAGCTAAATCATAAATTACTGTCAGTACTTTTCATATAGAGGTTGTGTTTGATGGCCTCCAACATGCATTCATCATAATCAATTTAGTGTGTTGTGGGCTTTCTGTCTTATCTACAACATGCAGTGATAGATCGTTGCATCGATTGTGTCGCTGGCTTATAACTTTCAAATAATTAGATGTTAAAGCATGAATGTGTTCTTGTGTTTAAAAATAATCATTATGACTTCCAGTTTCCAGTCTGGCATATAAAGAATGTGGAAGTCATCACTCGCCTCCTAACAAGAAAACCCTGAACAAACTGAAAATCAACAACTCTTCTCAGATCTGTCAGAGAATTGAAGTCAGGGGGAAAATCTCTGCCCCAAATTGAAGATACAGGCAGGTACATACAGAGAATCACAGCTTCCCAGGGCAGAAACCCAGGAACAGACACTAAGGCAGTGCTGGGTAGGGAAACCTAAGCTGACAGATTGCTGGGGGCTCAGTGTGGACAAGTCTGAGAGCTAAAAACTCCGGGGGGGGGGGCGGCGCTCAATCATAGAGACCCCCCTCTCCACTTTCATGAGTCTTACCTCCAGGAAGAGTACCATGTTCTCACGGCGAAGCTCAGAGAAAACGCCACTCCTGCTTTCAGCAGAGGGAGGGGAAAGGAACCATTCCGAAATACACCAGAGCACTCTGTTCTCCTGAACAAGGCCAGTCCTCAGGAGAAACTATTTTCCTAACTATCTTGGGGTTTACCAGAACCTAACCAACCAGAGGGGAGGGAAACACCCAACTCCGTCCTGCTCTAGCCTTCCATGGGGGGAGGGGAAATATGCTGCTCTAACCCCCTCTAGCCTTCCTAGCCCACCTGAGGGTTGGGGGCAGAGAAGCACAGCCACAGACTCACTCAAAGACTGAGGTCTAATCCCTAATCAGAGCACAGTAGTACAACTTTCTCCCCCACACGTCACCACCACATCAGTAGCATCCTGAATGGTAACAGAACACAGCTGAAAGAACCACACATCTCAGGCACTATTTAAGGAGTCTCTAGAGCAGTGGTTCTCAACCTGTGGGTCACGACCCCTTTGGGGGTTGAACGACCCTTTCACAGGGGTCGCCAGGTACTCGTATGTGGGCGTATCTGCATGTGAGCCTGGAGACGGATAGAGGAGCAGTGTCTCGGTTCCTAAGACCATCGAAAATATGTGTTTTCCAATGGTCTTAGGCGACCCCTGTGAAAGGTTGAGAACTGCTGCTCTAGAGGAACCCAGAGACAACAGGAGAGACAAAAACAAGGACTCTAGAGGAGATATTAGCACCTGACACCACAGCAATAGCCAAGAGTAAACACAGCCTAACTCCTAGCCAGGTAAGCACAAAGCCTCACACCAAAGGCCTACTTACCTCAGTTCCTTTTACCTACTATCAATACATCACATCCAGCTTTCAACAAAAAAATTACAAGGCACACCAAAAGCCAAAAAACACAGTTTGAAGAGACAAAGCCAAATTCAGCCGTGGCAGAGATGTTGGAATTATCAGACTTGGAATTTAAAACCACTATGGGACATAAATCTTTCTGACACAGAGTGCAATGCTCCCCTAAATCTATTATTCCGTTGGTAATAAAAGCCCCAGCTTTCAATGGAACATATCCCTCAGCTAAGCATAATGTTTGCTAGCCTCCCTTGCAGCTCAGTGTGGTCATGTGACTAAGTTCTCATCAATGAGACATGAACAGAAGTAAAGTGAGTAATTTTAACGATATGCCTTTGAAGAGCATGGGTGTGCCTTTCCTCTTCATTTCTTCTACCGGCTGGCAGGTGGTCTTGGTTGTGGGGATTAGAACTATCAGTGGGATAGTAACTATGTGTTATGTTTGACTGGGAAACAAAACCAAAGGAGCCTGGATGTCTGACACCATGGAGGTACCACACCAGGACTGCTTACCCTTGGACTGTACATGAAATAAAAATACCCTCCCATGTAGGCTACTGTGATTCTTGCCCTTGTTAGAGCTGCTGTACCAGCATCCTATAATAATCATCTACTCCTGTTGATATCTGACATATACATGCCCCTCCCTTCAAATTTGACTTATACAGTCATATTAGCATTAAAATATTTTCAGTAGAAAATGTGACAAGAAATAGCCTTCCACATTCAAACAGCTTTTCAAGTAAATACATGTTTTCTGATCCATAAATATATCTAAATATTTTTTCCCTCAAGGAGGTGAATAAGAATATCAGAGAAAATGGTGTCAATTCTTTGTACTAATTTGACTGCTCTCTTACTCATCTTATGAGAATGACTGCAATTAATTTATAATGTCCCCGGAGGCTTTCTAAAAATGTTGGCTCACATAAGTTGTTTCCATCTGATGGGGCTTTCTGGGTAAGTCAGGAATCAGAAAGAGAGCTGCTGAGATTTTCAAAGCCATCCCCTGTTATTTCCATCCCTCCTTTCAAGGAGGGAAAACCCATGTCCTCTTCTTTTACGATATTGTGAAATATACCTTAGGAGTTATAATACTGAAATGGGGGTAGGGATGAGAAGAAATCTGTGGCCACAAGATAAGAATTATCAAGCACATTATTAGCATATATAGTCACTTAGGATTCTAAGTAGCAAATAATAAAAAATCCAAACCAACTTTTCACAAAACTGCATACTTCCCACTGGTGGTTTCCTTCATAGCTCAATCACCTTATCAAGAACGTAAGTTTTGGTTTTTTTCTTTCTCTCTTCTCTGTTTCCAGTGATGTCAGCTTTAACTAAAAACCACCTTAACTTCATGGTGGCAAATAGGCTATAAACACTGCAGAACTTTTATCAGATCACCACATCTAGAAATAAAAAAGAGGGGTCAGACAAGTGGCTCAGTTGGTTAAGGGAGTGAGCTCTGAGCAACAGGATCACTGGTTCGATTCCCACATGAGCCAGTGAGCTGCGTCCAAGCTGAGCTGCTGCTGAGCTGCCAACAGGTGACAGGATCGTTCTGCTGGTGAGAGCATGTGCTCCCAACAATAAGATTTTCAGTTTGATTCCGACATGGGATGGTGGGCTATGCCCACCCACAACTAAGACTGAACACGGTACCCTGAGCTGAGCGGCCGCAAGCTGCCGAACAGGCAGCCGGATGACAACTGGACTTGGAGCTGAGCTAGTTGTGACCTCCACAACTATGATTGAAAGACAACAGCTTGGCTGTTCCCCTGCCCCAATTCCCCAATAAAATCTTGTTTAAAAAGAAAAGGAAAAAAAAAGAAATAAAAAAGAGCTTCTTTCCTAAGAGGTCCCAGGAAATGGCTGCTCCAGACTTGTTGGCTCAAATTAGGCCGGCGCTGCGGCCAGAGGATAGAAAATGATGCTATTTCCTTAGGCCTGAGGCACATCTCACCCATAAAACCAAGGGTGCAATCAGCTTCCCCTGGTTGGCTACTTGGAATGGGAAGAGTGGTGAAACCCAAATGAAAAGTAGGTTGTTACCGACAGAAGGGAGAATGGATGTAGGGAGAAGCAAACATACTTTTCTTTAGGCCTATAAGAAAGTGTTCTTCTATTAGGTTGTCGGAAAAGTTATGACATATTTATTTTTTCTATGTTTTTCATTGCAAAAATGCGTCATGACTTTTCCGACAACTCAATATTTAAAAATCCTACACTTTCACATCAATCATACTATTATAAAGCTTAAAAGAGCTAGGTCAAATCTCAGTCATGTGAATAGGAAAGAAAATGTGGACAAAAAATGTGTTAGGGTTGGCATATGAGAACGTTTAAGGGTGTAGAAAGACTTCTTTGATGTTCTTCTATTGGCAGTGTG